GTAATTGTTGAGATTTTAATTCTGCTTGACGCATGCGCATTTGATAGCGTGGCGTACTTTCAAGTTTACTGGAGCAGTAAAATGTTGGCAAATCAATTTATATTTCAATTAAACATAACGTGCCACTGGGACTTATCTGTTGGCATGCTTAGAAAATTCAAGTATAGCTTGTTATTAGTACAGTGCAACTGTGGTTATTTTTATTTTCCTCTGTGAAGTGAATGTATATACAGTATTTCCCTTAATCAGAACAATACCGAAAGAAACACTATTGCCGAAATTTATTTTTGTATCTGGTGAACGGGTCATCAATTGTTGTAAAAACTGTACATTTTTGTTGAATTCGTTAGGAGTGAATGTATATGTGTAACCAAAAAAATGTATACTAAAGAGATGTGATCAAAAGTGAGAAAATTCCATTGTCGTGGTGGTATATTAACCATCTGATTTTGGTATAAATCTACTAGCGTTCTATCACGAATACCGTTCTCTGATTGGCTACGCAGTCCACTATCTATTCTGTTGTAGATAGTGAGTAGCTCAGCAGAGTGCAGTTGTTAACAAATAAAAGGCTGCTAGACTAACGGTTTTGTGATCTTCAGGCTCTAGTATTTACGTTAAGACCCAACAAGGTGTTTTAATTGTTATTACTTTTCTAAACTTCAAAAATTAAACTTCTAAAGAAATATCAGCTTTAGTTCGAGTTTTAAATTTCTTCATGTTTTCTGTAAATCGGTTTCTCTCATTTTTATGGTATCATTCTACAAAATCAGACCTTTATACGTAACTAGAGACAGATATGCTAAATTTAGCATGAAATCTTTTGCAATCTTTTCCAGCTTGTCTTCGTGAATGTTCTACTGGTGTACCTTGGCCTGTCTGTCCTGTCAATCACACTCAGTATGATCGCTTCAAATATACACCACCAAATGCAGAAAGCTTCGTTCATTGAGAAACTCAAAGAAACCGAGATGTCGGACTCTTCTTTTGTTGGCTCTGCCGTGGGGGTTGGAGACGAGGAAAACGGCAACGGCAACGGCAACGGAAATAGAGGAAGGAGAGGGTCTGGGGATGACAGGGCCATAGCCACGCAAGATACAAATGGCGGGAAATCTTACGGAAGCACTGAGAATAGTCCTTAACATGCTTTGCTTCAGTGGCCTGGAACCCAGATAAATTCTCAAATATGTCCCCATCAGTTATCGAAATGTGGGTTTTTGTTCAATTCGTCAACCTTTTTTATTTATCTATAAAATTTCAAACGAAATTTCAGTAAATAGTCGACAATTTTCTGGTGGGCCATTATTTGGGCGACTCAGTTCTATGAAAATAATCAGTTTTATTACAGTCATCGAAACAGCGTGCTAGGCAAGCCATACCAAATCACTAGCAAACAACAGAATGGGAGAGCAGATTGTTCTTGTGAGAGAAGACATGAAAGATAGTGTGTATCGCTTTTAGACCCCTAGCCAATGAGGAACTATCGACGACTAGTAAAAAAGACTTGTAAAATCCGCCTTCTCATGTCGTTTGCGACGGGGCGCGATTTTAAGGTCCAAATCGTTTATAGCGGTGAGCTATGGATTCGTCATTTTAGTTTCAGTGGACAGATAGCAGTCTCATGAGGGCAAGATGTTCCGTTATTGAGCCCCACGCATCCCCCAACCCGCGGGACAGCTGGTAT